TGTGTGTGTGTGTGTGTGTGTGTGTGTGTGTGTGTGTGTGTGTGTGTGTGTGCGTGCCTGTTAGTCCACTCATAAAAATGGCGTCGTCTTGGCTAAATACCTGACAATAGCGATTTTAAATCCCGGGCGTTGTAGCGTTTATGTAAGGCATTGAAGCATTACACTAGCCCCTTGTATTATTCTTATAAACTTTAAGGATTTAAATTAACCCAGGCACAACAAGCCACTTTGTTTCTGGGAAGGAGGTACCATCCCGTGTATATCCATAATGTAAATATTTGGGGCGCAACAGCTGAAAAAACGCGCGCTCGGTTTACTATTTATAGGGACCTAGTATCTCACCTTTTTATGGCAATGCAGTACGCGAACAACTGAGAGGAAATGGGGTACAATCAAGCACGTGTCGTACGTCTCGGGTGTAACAAGCATCAGAATTCGACATGTAGAGCATCAGCCGCGTTACTGTTTCTGCTAGAAAGGACAATAGGCATCGAGATATATAAGAGGGCAAAAGAGGCGAGGGGAGGAAGAAACCGGATTTTTTGTGGTGACGGTGGTTGGTGTACTTCACCCCCCTCCCCTCCCCTCTCCTCTGTATCCATCTCCCCCTCCTCCCTCCATTCCTCTCCCCCTCTGTGCTGGTCCTATTCTTGAGGACTTGCTTGTGAAACGGGAGAGATAAACAGACACTGAACGCAGAGGAAAGGACACGGGGAGAGATAGTGTGTTAGAATTTAGGAAATACCTCCCTCCCCTTCCCCTGTCTATCTCTCCATCTTCATCCGTTGTCTCTTCTTTAATGGATAGAAATTATCCTGGCACAGGATTCGGTGATCTGGGCGCTGGAACGGGATGGAGTTACGAGAGATCGGCGAAGGCAAGGTAAGGCGCCCGTGCAAGTTCACTTCCATGCGCTGGATGCATAAATATGCTTAGCTGGCTGTAACAATGCCCACGGACGGACGGACGGACGCAGTGCAATGCAATGCAATGCATGTTCCCACTCTCGCTCGCAGTGCTGTTCATTCACTTCCATGCATTATATTGTCGCTGGCTCCACGTACAGCCACCAGTATTGTCATTTCTGAGGGAGGAGGGGGTGTCTTCAAAATGCAAGGAATGCGATTGAGAGTTACTGCGTGATACGGAAGGTAGACTGAGACAGAAAAGGGGGAGAGGGGCGAAAAGAGGGGGGATGGGATGATGTTGCTAGCTAGCTTGCTAGCGTATTATCAAAAATGAAAAATCAAACCTTCTGCCTTGGAGGCGCACCAAACCGGACATTGCATGCAGTACTTAAATACACGCGAATTCGGCGTAGTGAGTAATGCGTGGCACAAAATGCACGTTGACAACGCGTTATTTTGGTGGCTACCAATTACAAGCAATCACATATATTTGGGGATGAAATGGTCGATAGCTTCTGTATGCTGCTTGTCTCTGTCGCTAACGCGTATTTGTCTGTAAAATCGACCCCTGGTTTTTTTTTTCTCGAAATATAAATGGTTAAAAAATGCTAGATTTATTTGAACGTTAAAAGACAAAATGCAGAGGTGAAGTTCCTTTAGTCAACGTGTATTCAGTTGAACGTCACAACACTGGCTGTATATTAAACGCTTAATGAACAACCTCTGCTACTAATTCATAGCATGCTTACTACCGTCAGACTTCACAAAATTAAAACAATATATATAACCCAAACTTTGTATAGGCTATCGTTACTCTCTAACGGAGAAATGCTATATCTGTTACTGAGGATACTGTCTTTTACTAGTCACTTGGCAACGTACCAAATTGTGTGTAGTGTTCCTCAGATAAATTACAGCGTGACCGAGACGTGCACACTGTAAACATAAACGTAAGACGCACTGCAAACGTATTTGCAGTTTACCAGCAGAAAAGGGCACTAATAAACCCTTAATGCAATTTTTTTTTTAAATATCCACAGCGATTTGGAGGAAATTATTGATTAATGAAATGACCTTTATTGATATGCTTGATTTTACATTGACTAGTCATTAAATACCTGCAGGAAACATTAGGCTTGCTCAAAAGGGCTGATACGTTTAGGAATTGTTGCATTGTAATATTCAAATATTGTTTGATATTCTGTTGCTACCTGAAAGCGGGACTATTACAGTGTCGTGCTCTGCGTTAGATGCGTGTTCCACTATTTTCGCGGCCTACTTACAGTTCAAAGGCGCCCGTGTATGTACGTTATCAGTCGCCGTGACAACCAAATCAATCTTAGTAGCTTACAGAGCGCGCATGCAATCATTCTTGTGTCTCGCGTTGCATGTCTGGAGTCAGTCGTACACTTGGGTGCACACCTACAGCATACTATAACCTATTGTTATATGGGAACAGGAAGCGAAATGTTAAGACATTTGAATTATTCATGATAATTTAGGTGTATTATGCGATATGGTGGAATCTGTGCTACTATTCCTTGTCTTTGCAGACTTCTTTTCAATTAAAAAAAAAATTTAATCGTAGGTTGTATTTCATCTTTTTTTATTTACACCGATGCAAACAGGTTCTGGTGCCTATTTGTTGTCTTTGTCATAATGTGTCAAGAAGTCTCATTATTTGTGCATTGTAATATTTGGAGTGTCTCCTTTTTTTTCTTACATGACAGGACAACAATAGTGCTATTCTTTTAAGCAGTCATCCCTAGATATGTGGAAACCCCTAGGTGCATGTATGAGGAATTCTATTCGGACTCCTAAAAAAAGGTTCACAAATGCTGTGTGTGGTCAGACTTTTTCTAACAAGTAACATCTTGGTCTTTAGCAAGTCTGAAGAGGAATTGTTCTATTTTCTGTCGGAATCTTTAATATTGTGTTTCTGACTGGAGAGCATCTCTGTAGACTCGGGCAGATTGATAAAATCCAGAAATAATGAGGAGTTCAGGCTTATGATTATGGACAAGCTTCAGTGCTGCTGATGCAGAGGCTGAAGAGCATCCGCCAAATAAAATAAAATGAAATGATTTTGTATTGAATCTTCTCTCTTTTGGTTTTCCAAAAATTGCTTCTGGTTTTGAATGAATATTAGATAGTGGGACTGCTGCTTTGGGTCATTGGCAGCATAGCCATTATGCAATGATGAAACATCATCAAGTGTTAAATTAGCATAAAATGAAACAAAATGTCATTGGGGTCTGGGTAGGACACCACATTCGGCAATATTGGTTCTTATATTAAGAAATGTTGTTGCATGTGTTAATATTAAATTAGTATAGACATATATAATGATAGCACTGTTGCTTAGCAAGACTCCTGCACACTACATCTTGGTTATGAAGACGACAAAGGTATACTCCACTATGGCAAGGTTCACCAGGCCCTCTGTCCTTCTTAGTGCAGCGTACATCCACCACACACCTCTGCATGGTTCTAATGGAGATTAATGGCCATGACTGAGTTCCCCATCAGGCTGTAAACATTTTGCACCTGTTGGGGGACTGTGTTGAATTACTGCCTATGTAATTAGGAGCAGTCTTGTACAGTGGATTCAATCAAGCTTTCTAATATAACCCCTCCCTTTGTTTTTTCGCTTTGTTTCCATGATTTATTTTTTTCACATTTCACCTTTTCACCTGTTATTCTTTTTCACTCCATTGTCAAACTATGCTTAATCAGCTCAAGAACAGACACAATGGCAGGAGGTGAGAGGTTTAGCAGGATCAATTGATTGACTGAAGGTGCGAGACAGCATGATGGAATAAAAGTGAGAGAGGAGAGACAGAGGAAGAAATTATTGGATGTAAAATGTTTGAAGTGTGATCCAAATGTAAATAAATATATGAATAAATGGAGTACCTCAATTTTTACTGTAGTATCAATTAAATATAATATTAAAACATAGAAAATGTGTTTGTAGGTCACTAATCAAATAAGCTAATTTGTGACATTGGCAGTGGGAACTGTATGAAGATTTCCTTCATCATGATAACATGACTGTCAACTTTTGCTCAAAGTCGTCATGAAACAGAAACCATCTTCTCTTCCCTATTGTGACATTTATATCCAAGTGAAATGGCTTCTCGAATGAGAAAAATGTAATTGATTGGATTGTTGGTCATTGTCCTTTGCTAATTGCTGCCATCTCAGGTGAGTGACAGGTTGCAGGAGGGAGGAATTATTGTCCAGCCCTCACATCGGTGCACACGTGATCAGAGAAGAGATGCTGTTGTGAGGGGGAGGGTAAGGAAAAGTTCATGTTTATGATTAAAGATTATGAGTGCACATTAATTTTAAAAAGATGTGCACGGATAAATCATTTATAATAAACACTGCAATATTCCATAGAAAAATAATAAGCAAATAAGAAATTCTACATGTAACTTCTCACTCATTGTTATGCTGATGTTACAGCCTAGTTTGTAATAAAATAATATTTAGTTAAAAGCAAAATAGACCCACTAAGTTGTCTCATACTTTTGAACCCCACTGTTTGTACGATGTCCTTCAGTTTACTTAATTTTTGAGAAGTTCGGCATCTATTCCCTGATCGTCTCTGAGCTGCCTCTTTGGGATTAAGAGCCAATTACTGTCTAATTCCCATCAAACCTCACATTACCTGGAAGTGAAACTGCTTCCTTTGGTTGCACAGAATAATTTTCATGTACATGAATTCTCGCATTTGAAGAGAGAGTACTGATGCTATGATGCATTAATTATTTAAGATAAGACATTCAGTTGCCGGAGAAACATCTGCTTGTCAGGGTTCCTCATATGTATTTAATATTTTTTTTAAATGATCATTCATATCCAGTTCGTCACTTTTGCATGGTACTGTGTCTCTAATAGTTTATAAAGCAGTGACTCAGCTTATCTACAATGCTTGCCTTGTTCTGCGTAACCTGAAACGATTCCACTAAAGAATCATTATCAAACAGAAGCAGCAATGTATCAAAACATCATAAGGGTACTTTTGTCATGGCACTGTATATTATGTATTATGCCAAAGGTACAATCAGTGAAGCTGTTGGCAGCTGGGATGTGCGCTCTCGCTCATGCATTTAAATGTTTAACCCAGTTCATTAGAGCCTTTATCCAGTTAATTACGCGAGTCTTGTGCCTCCAAGATGAGGGTGCTTTTAAAAGAGATGGACATGCTCCCAGATGGAACCCCCTCAGGATGGACATCAGTTGTCTTTGTCACATTTATTAGGGTCTTTTGGGAGACATGTATTCCAGTGACTATATTGAACCCAGGAGTCTATTTAATGGAGAATGACAATATCAAATCTATTCTTGCATCCTGTCGAGAAGTATGTAATGAGAGGCTGTGCTTATATATTGTACAGATTTATTTAGGTAATTCTTTGAATACTACACTCGAAGATGTAGGTTTGAATAAGGTAAAGAATAAATAAGGTAAGAATACATTTCATTTATGGGTTTTAAAATAGATTTTCTGGTCCACTCCACTGCTTCTGTTGAATGACACCCACCCCCTCACCACGCGCTCACTCAGTATGTGGTGTCTGTGGCTTCCTACTCTGGTCTCAGAGTGAGAGGGATCTAGACTAACTGAGCTGTACTCACACTAAGAGCCTGTTGAGGATGGAGGGGAGGGGATTTCCAAGGCAATTCAGTCAGTGTAGAGCTTTTATCAATGAGCGCTCTGTCTTACCTCAGCAACATCCTAACCGCCATTGTCAACTGAACTGGCCACTCTCTATGAAAGCGGACAACAGAGACAGTCTGCAAAGACAGCAAAAGGCAGTTGATTGGCTGGCAACAGGCAGAGTGGCCAATCAGAATTCTGGGCTACACTCTGTATCATTGCACATCGGAAAGCATAGCAGTGGTAAATGTGAGACAAAAAAATTAATTAGAAAATGATCTTGTTTTGTCATTCATAAGTTACATATTGATAAGTCAGCATATTTCCCTAATTTATAGATAGAGGAGGCAATATTGAGAATGCTGATAATATATTTGATGTTGTGATGATTGTTATATATAGCCTGTCAAAATCAGATCCTTTTTGGGAGAAGGAGGATGTGGAAGTGAGTAGGCTGATTAAAGAGCTAATCTTTGTGTGTGGCTGTGGTGTGAGAGGGATAATGCCAAGCTGGGTCAACTGATACTCTATACAGGGATTTAGTATGAGTATAGAGACCAACAGACTTTTTCACTGTCTGAACAGAGGGTGAACACTGAAATCCATCCCAATGTCACACAACTGATTTTTGATACAATACAGTGAGTTATTGTTTGATTTAGTCCTCCAAAATTACTTTTAAATGAAGAGAACACAAGTGGTTGATGTTTGAGCAAGTAAAAAAAAAACATGGTTGGAAGTCATAGTTGGATTGTACATTCATTGGGCTAATTAGAAAATTAAATAATTAGTGATCATTTAATTAGATATATTAGTAGAATGTAATATTTTTTCCCTTTGTTTTAAAATTGATCAAAGATACTTTACAAAACACATATTAAATAAACAACAAACAGTGAACCAAAACAACGGTATAATCAAAATTCCTTCCCAGTACTTGTTTTCTCTGCATCATTATATAAATAAATATATAGTGAAATATTACTGGGAGTTAAGGTGTGTGATTAATAATATATAATTATTAAAAGTTAACAGAAATATTATTTGTTCATTTATTATTATGCAAAATTATGAATATTTATAATGTTTTTATAACCTTAAAATGTACTTTTATTGAAATTTTTTTAATTGATTTCTTTTTTTTAATATAAAATAGAATGTTTAAGCAGTACTTAACCATTTACAGTGTAAACATTTACTTCTCTTATGTATGTATTATGTGCTGGCCAATTAAAGAATGGGCAGGTTGTGTCAGATGCCCAAATGTCATGTAATGCATAAGAATGTATGCAAACAATTACTCTGTTATTGTGTCTGTTTCTGTACCATTCCCTCGGTCAGTTACCTCTTTTTTAATCCTCTGTTTTTCAGTTTGGTTTATGGGAGCTCCAGATCCTCCCATCCAGACTCAGAACTCCTCCACCGTCAACCTTATGCCACACCACACCCCCTGCAAGGATATGCAACCAATCATCATCCAGGCACTTCTGGACAAGGTGGAGCATGGGGCACAGGAAGGAGCTTAGGTAAGGTCTACAAAATTATGTAATTAATTACTGGAAAATTACTGATGTTGTTTCATCCAGCTAGTTTGAGTATAATTTTGTGACAGTACATAAAAACGTATTTCTTCAGAAATTGCTTTGATTTAACACTGTACTGACCTCTGCACAGTACTGTATTCATTGTGTACCTTGATGTTGAGATGATAAAAAAAGACATCCTCTGAGCAGGTGTTAGACTTTGTCTTAATAATCGTCTTTTGCAGGGCTCTCAGGCTTGTTTGATACTGGACTACATCATGCAAGTCCCTCAGGACCAGATGCTTCAGTTATGAACTTGATCTCTGCTTTGGAATCCCGAGGTGCTCAGCCACCCCCCTCTGCCTCTTCCCTTCTCTCCCAATTTCGCACCCCCTCCTGGCAAACTGGTTAGTATTTTGAGTTATTGAATGTAGAATTATCTAATTATAAACACAGAAATATATCATGAAATAAAGATAGAGAATCACCTTATTAACTGCTGAATCATTTTCTTTTTCTTTTCCTTTCCCTCACTGTTGTTGTAGCAATGCATACTCCAGCCCCTGCAGAGCTATTCATTTCTGGTGCACTACCTGGCTCTGGCTCATTTCCCTCTTCCTCTGCTCTGTCGGCATATCAGCACCCTGCATCCTTCTCAGGGCGCTCCTTCCCTGGAGTGACCCCATCATTATCTCTGCAGGACACATCTACCTTCAGTCCTACTTCCAATGGTCTCCTGTCACCACATGATCCTTTGCTACACATTAAAACACCCTCCCAGTCAAGTCTTGGCTTTGACCGTCTTCTGTCTTCACAGAGTGGGACTGCTTCATATAGAGGGCCACAAGAGCCCACTAGTGCTCCTCCACCACAAGCACCATCATCCTCATCAACACGCCATTTACCACCTCAGTTTAACCTGCTGTCCTCACAGCTGCAGGATCAGTCCTCTCAGCTCTACAATTCCTCTGTTTTTTCTTCTGCACCCCCTCAACCGCCACAGTCCCAGGAAAGAGCCATCTCCAGGCAAGACAGTGTGATCAAGCACTACCAGAGACCTTCTCCTGGACAGTCTCAACTATCCTCTTCCACACCTCATCCCCTACAACACTATCTTAGTTGTGGTGCATCAGGATACCAGCAGATACCCCATCATCGGCATGGCTCCTCCATAAACTGTAGTCCACTGGGGGAGCAGAGTCCATCATCTGACCCCAAACCCTCTCCCCGATCAGAGCAGATATATCGTCCTATTATCCAGCCCTCGTACACTTCCTCCTCAGTCTCCTCCTCAGCTGGTTCGGGTGGTGGTATTGGGACAACAGGAAAGAGTTCCAGTTCAAGTAGTGGCTACTCTTCCTCTGGCTCTTCCTCATCTCGAACCCCTCACACTCCTCCTTCAGCTTCTTCCACCTCCTCTTCTTCCTCTTCTGCCTCTAATCCTAATGTCTCATCCAGTACCTCCTCTGCACCCTCAAGGCAGCAACCACCACCCCAATCAGCACCGCAACCCCCACCACCTCCACCTCCAACAGTGTCATCCTCTTCTACGCAGCAGCAGCCACCCAAACCTTGCCTGTCTACATATGGCTCTCCAGTTGCTCCTGTCAAGCCAACTGCTGGCCTTCCTGGTCAAACCCCACCACAGCAACAGTCATATTCACCAAGCCAGCCACCCACCTCTCACTTGCCCCAGCCATATGGGGGTTTCAGTTCTCCGCAGGCTCAGGATCTTGGTTCCAGCCTTGGGGGGACAGGAAAAGCTTATGGAAGTCTTGGAACTGCAGGACGTTCATTTTCAGCTGAGGTGGTCTATGGCTCTGATTCAGGATATGGTTCTTTGCCACCATCTCTTGGAGGGGCAGGAAGTCCCTCACTGGGCTATGGTGGTACAGGACATTCACCTGCCCTAATGGTGTCTGGAGGTGGTACTGGTACAACAAACAGTACCACCGGATCCGGAGCAGGTAGTTCAGGAAGTGTGGGGGGTGGTTCAGGTAGTGGTAGTGCTAGTGTAGCAAGTGGTGGAGGATCATACCACCTGCCAGATTCCAGCCCGTCACCCTCAAGTAATTCTGGAATAATCCGCCCAGGTCTGCACTCCCCTGCCCCAACTCGCCCTGCACAATCACCTGGAGGAAATGGGGGCAACAAGTACCTATCGTCAGTTCTTTCCCCAGCATTTCTGGCTTCTCCACAAGGATATTCAGACACAAGGTTGCCACCCCAGCAATCACAGTCTTATCACACAACGCCACCTAAATCTAAGTCTGATTCTGATATGCTTGGGGTAGAAAGATCTCAAGAGGAGGACGAAGAAGATGAGGATGACTTTTTGATTCAGCACTTATTGCACTCACAGAGTCCAGCACCAAATCCCTCCCAGCATCATTCTCAACAAGCTCAGCAAGTAGCCTCACAACAACCGCAGTCTCAGTCCATTTCCCAGAGTAGAGATGGAGGAAAGTCTCTCTCTGCTTATGAACTAAGCAAGGCATCTGAAGAACGTTATCATCTACAGAGTGTCATTCGGACTAATAATACCACCAACAATGTGGCTTCAGTTGCTGCTGGCTCTTGTGGTCCAGGCACAGGTTTAGAGAACCAGTTGGAGATGTCTCTGAAAAAGCAGCAACAGACTAAGTCTGATAGAGTGCTTGCTGGAGCTGGTGCAAATGGTGGCCGAGGTGCAGTTGATTCTTTGTCACATACTCATTCTCATGGTCAACATGACTCCCTTGGTTCAGTGGTCCACTATGGCAGAGGAGACCCTTATAGTCATCAGACACATCAACATCACCCTCCTCACCCATCACACCCTCAGCATTCACAGCACCCTCATCCCCATTCAATGTCCCACTCACATATAGATCTTAAGAAAGCTCAGGATCCTTCAGAATTACCCTACCTACGAAAGACTCCAGACTCTCAGCAGCAACAGACCCAGTCCTCCCTTAGACTAATGGATTCTCCACCCGACCCGTCTCAGCAAACCTCCCAGACTCACCTTCTCCAGTCTGTCCTTTCGCATACCACTCGAAACAAGATGGACAACCAACAAACTCCTTCACAGCAACAACAACACTCAATGACTCAACAAGCCATGATTAGACCAACTGGGGGATTAGGTACTAATGGCTCTGGAGGAGTAGACACTCAGCCACAGGCCTCTCAACTTCAACTCCAGCTCCAGTCCCAAACTATGGAGGTCCACTATGGACCTGAGGCTAGCCAGTCAAGTCAGAATTCTGTTTCACCACTAGACATGCTAGAGAGATCTCTCTCCAGAACAAATAGTCGGGAAGGGCCAGGCCCAGCTGATAGAGTTGTTGCAGGAGATGGGAGCAGCACTGATCATCACAGACAACAGCAACAACATAGGATGTCCTCACACCATCAGTCCCACCACCCTCAACAACCAGCAGCAGAGCTTCATGATTTCTTGTCTGATTCGGATTTGAGCATGTCAACCCCCTCTCATTTGCACCATATGGCCTCACACCATCCACCGATCCTTCAGAATTACCCTACCTACGAAAGACTCCAGACTCTCAGCAGCAACAGACCCAGTCCTCCCTTAGACTAATGGATTCTCCACCCGACCCGTCTCAGCAAACCTCCCAGACTCACCTTCTCCAGTCTGTCCTTTCGCATACCACTCGAAACAAGATGGACAACCAACAAACTCCTTCACAGCAACAACAACACTCAATGACTCAACAAGCCATGATTAGACCAACTGGGGGATTAGGTACTAATGGCTCTGGAGGAGTAGACACTCAGCCACAGGCCTCTCAACTTCAACTCCAGCTCCAGTCCCAAACTATGGAGGTCCACTATGGACCTGAGGCTAGCCAGTCAAGTCAGAATTCTGTTTCACCACTAGACATGCTAGAGAGATCTCTCTCCAGAACAAATAGTCGGGAAGGGCCAGGCCCAGCTGATAGAGTTGTTGCAGGAGATGGGAGCAGCACTGATCATCACAGACAACAGCAACAACATAGGATGTCCTCACACCATCAGTCCCACCACCCTCAACAACCAGCAGCAGAGCTTCATGATTTCTTGTCTGATTCGGATTTGAGCATGTCAACCCCCTCTCATTTGCACCATATGGCCTCACACCATCCACCCCCTCATGCCCACCATCAGCCACAGGCGCACACTCACCATCAGCATCCTCACCAGCACCCTCACCACATGCAACCAACTTCTGGACCTCCACAGCCCCAATCCCAGCTCAGGGAACAAGAGCCACAGCTCTCACAGCCACAGCTGGATCAGCTCAAAGAGCATCAATATGACACTGGTAGCCCTGTGGGAAAAACAGCTCAGAACCAGGTTCAGAGCCAAGACCAGCAGCAACGGTTCATGCCACTGACATCTATTTGTTTCCCAGATTCACTTCTCCAAGATGAGGATCGTTCCTTTTTTCCAGGTATGGAGGATATGTTCTGCTCTGAGGACTACAAGGCAAGTTGTGCTGGAGGTGGTGGAAGTGTAGGACAAGAGGGTCAGGATGGTGTGCCAGAGGCACGTGAAACAGTACAAGATGGAATGGATGCAGTTAAAGCTACAAGTGGTGGAGGAGGTGCATATGACATAATGAGTCACCATGGTGATCAGGGTTATGGGCAGTATTGTCACAGTTTGTCTGAATCTAGCAATGGTACTATGCACTTAGATCTGGACCCCTTGAAATCCCATGAACTCCCATCCACTGTAAACACAGAACAACTAGGCTTAATTCAGTCTCAGGGCCCAGGCCTTGGGATGGGCAGCACAGGACACGTAGTGGACGGAACTGGAAACAAAATGATGGGCTCTGCGGGTGTAGGTAGTGGTCCTGGCACAGGGGGACTCACCTCACCAATCTTTTGTTCCTCTAGACCTAAAAAACTTTTGAAAACAAGCTCTTTTCACCTCCTTAAACAGCGGAAAGAGCCTAATGCCCAATCACAGGCTAAGAAGAACTATGCTCAAGAATATGAATTTGAGGATGATGAGGATAAAGCAGATGTTCCAGCTGACATCCGCTTAAACAGCAGACGTCTGCCAGACTTGCTTCCTGATCTTGTTTCTAGTTGCAGAAAGTCTGGAAGTGGTTCAGGAGTTGGCAGTTTAAGCCCTTTGATGGGTGATTTAGATTTCTGCCACCCCTCAGGGTACCAATCCCTTGGACCTCCTCCACAGCTGCTCCCACATGATGGCCCAAAGAAAAGGGGGAGGAAACCCACCAAACCTAAACGTGAGGGTCCACCAAGACCCAGGGGCAGGCCACGTATTCGGCCTCTTCCTGAGCCTCCATATTGCAGGAACATGATGGGACCTGGTGGAGAGAGTAGAAGGGGCCGTGGTCGAGGAAGAGGACGTGGAAGGAAAGATGATCAAATGCTAGAAATGCACAGAGACATGAACAAGGGGCAGAACTACCAACAACAAGCACCTCACCTCCATCATCAACCACAGTTACAACAGCACATGCACCACCATCTACAGCAGCAACAGCAGCACCAACCACAACATATGCATCAACAGCAGCACCTACATGTACAACAACTTCATCAACACCATCAACAACTTGCACAGCATCAGCCTCAGCAACAATACCAGGAACCCATCAAACCAATCAAAGTAAGTAAAAGGTTACGATTTGCACCAATGGAAAGAATTATGTTTGTGGGAATGATGGATCAATGAAACTGTGACAAGTGTAAAAACATGTATTGATTCAAGAAATACCTTTTATGTAAATACTTAAATATAGTAATTGCTTAATTGTTTTCCTCCCAGATTAAGCTCCCTATTCCTTCCATACCCTCGTCTGACTCCCTACTGAGGACAGACTCCCTGTCTAGTACAGATCCAGTTTTGTCTGATGGTTCAGTAGGTTCTGCACCATCACTTGGGTTGAGCCCAGGGCCCACTACCAGTGTGGACATGAACAGAATTGACATGAACAGAAATGATATGAGCTGTGGTCAGGAAAAGATGAAGCAGAAACCACAAGAGGTGAGTCTTGGCTTGCAAAAATGTTAACAGAAAATGTTTAAATAACTCCAGATGTTCTATGTAAAATGCAGAGCAAATGCCAATTCTGTGGTTTTGCATTTAAGGAAATTATTTATTGTAATATCTCTATTGCAACAAATATTTCTTTCATATATCTAATATCTCTTTCATAATCTTTAGAAAGATAAATTGGTGTCTTAAAAAAATTAGCATAAAGATACACCATAAAATCAGTTGTGACAACCTCACTTTTTGCAACCTATGTGTCCAAAAACATAACAAACAATGTGCTAGTTCATATTGGGTCCTTTTGATGTCCTCAAATGACCTGCAGATTTAGAGCAAAGTTTAGTGGAGGAGGTGCGTATGGATATTTTGTGGAAGACTTGTCAGGCTGTGTTGGCAGCTGTGATAGATTAATTTTACCAAATTAAAATGCTTTGCTAAATTTGTTCTTTTTAGTTAAAATATTTATTTTATTTTATTTTATTAAAAAAGTTTTTAGGGTACTTGTAAATTGATTTATCAAGCATATTTATTTATAGTCATTTTTGTTAGCAGTGCACAGCACTGTTAGACAATAGTAGAAGGGATTGGTGGGAAGCAGCATGTGAAATCAGTTGTGATTTATGCAAATGCAAAAGGAATGTCAATTACTGAGCTGCGACCAAGCTCACTATGAGTAGATGATCAACAGCCTGAGTAGGATCTTTCCAAATACAGAAAAATCTAGATGATGATTAAATGGTTTGACATAATTTGAAAACTATACATGTCAAAGTACATTGCCCCCCTCTGCTACACCCCCACCATCCCCCTCCCCACCTCCTCCTGAAGAGTTGCCCCAGCCCTCCCCGGCCTCACCCCCCCCCCCCGAAGATGCCCCAAC